AAATATGTGCCTCTCCAGCTCCTGCTGTCCCGCGAGCGCCTCATGCGCCACCTGGTGACGACCCTCACGGCCACCGGCGACGCGCCCGTCGCGCAGCTGCCCCACAGCGGCGCCCTGGGGCGCCAGCGGCTGCAGGGCGACGCCAGCCTGGGCGCGGGCGCGGGCGCGGCCGCCGCGGCGGCCGCGGCGTCGCGGGCGCAGGATTTGTGGGAGCAGTGGCGGCGCCGCCAGCAGCCCCAGGAGGGGGGCGGGCCGGCGGGCCAGGTGTGGGAGATGGTTGCGCAGGGCTCGGCGCAGGCGCAGCGGCAGGGCGGGGACGAGGGGTGCGGCGACGAGCCGTCCATCCTTGACGACAGGTTTTGCGAGATCCAGGAGACACTGGATGATCTCGCTCAGAACATCAGGCAGCAGGTGTGCGGCGTGTGGCGGGCACGACCCACAGTCTTGGCTCGATGTGCAAGCCGGCGCTGGAATGCCCAGGGGCCCAGCCGCGACCTACCACCGGCCAGAGTGTACTTGCACCTGCCTCTTTGCTGCGCCTTCTGGCCCGGCGCATCCAGAGCGTCCCAAACTGCGCACACACGCGCCCAACTATCCCACACCCGCCCCCGCCCTCACCCCGCCTTCCGTGCCCTGCAGTCCAACCTCCTGGCGAGCCTGCACGGCGCGTCCGCCCTCATCGCGCAGCGCACGCCGCTGCTGCTCGCGCAGAACTTCGTGCTCAACTACCCCTACCTGCCAGACATGGTCAAGACCGTCCAGGTGTCGGGGCGGATATACCTGCCGCCGATATTCCTGAAGTCCGGGATCGGACTGTCCGCGGAAGATGTTGACCGCGGCGCGACTGCGCTCGCGGAGGAGCTGCGCCGCATGGCCCAGGCGACCGGCGACGCGTGACGGCCACGCGCCGCGCGCCGCCGGCGCTGCCGGCAGCGGGGGCGGCTCCGGTGGGGTGTTGCGCCTGCGCCGGGGCGCGCGGCGCGGCTGGCCCGGGGCTGACATATGAAGCTGTGCCACGCCGCGCGGCGCCGGGCGAGCCCTGATGCGGCCGCGATTTGGTGCGCTGGGGGTTTGCCGCGTGGTGGGGCGGACTGCTTTTGGCGCCGCCACGCCAGACCTTGCCGCGTGTTGGGACCATTGGCAGGCTGCAACATCTGCAGTGCCGCGCTGCCGCTGTCGTGTCCTCACGCGTGGTGATTACGAACTGCATTATCATGTTCCTTGGCGTCTGACATCGCCTGTGTGGAGTGCACCCAGACCCACACACGGTATGAGCTTGATACAGGCGTATAAAATGCCATGCGGCGCCATCAAACCTCACAATTCCGACCGCCCTTGAGGCGCGACCCTGCTGCTCCCTTTGTCACAGCCCCCTTTTGCGGCTGCTGGAACCCTCCCAACGCTTTGTACCCATTTCCAATTGTGGCTGCGTGATCCTGCCCTCCCCCTTAGACACCGCGTTGCTGACACCCGAATGCCCGCGCGAGTGGTTCTGATTTGCGCGCCGGCCACCGATTGGCGTGCCGGCCCATCAAAACCCTGAATGTGTCCGCCCGCACACGCGCGCCGCGCACTGGAGGGTGCGTGACTAGGGTGCTTTATCTGTTTGCGCGCCGCATCTGGCAACCAAGGGTCGCACCGCAGCCGCGGGCCCCAAGTCACACTGCTTTGTCTCCCCAACTTGCGCGGAGGTCATTTTGCCTCCCGTGGTCTGGACGTGCGCATCTGCTGCTCTGTGTGTGTGTGAGTGTGTGGTGCTTGTGCGCGCGCGTGTGTGTGCTCACTCTCACGCACGCACAGGGGCTTTCACACAGGGGCTTTCATGCTTCCCTCAAAGAAGGGAGCGGCAGACAGCCCCCCGCCGCTCGCCTTAACGTCGCCCCAAAGGCCGTGCACCACAATCACGTCAGGCTCTCCACCGCCCCGGCCTGCGGGCGCCGCTGGCCGTGAAGAGGGCTCTCGTTACTTTCCTTTCCCGGCGTGCGGCGACGCTCGGGGTGATCCAGCATGCACCTCTGCATTGAGCATGCTGATTTGGTGGCCTTCAACACCTCGTATTTTGTGCCCCTTTTCTCTCACGGCTCATGATTCCCTGCACTTGCGACGCAATAAGAGTGCTCCAAACACACGCGCGAAATCACACTTGTTCACGACCATTCGTCCCGCGACGCCCGCTGCGCTGCGATCGGCGCCTGTTGCGCCGACGTCACCAGCGAGGCACCGCAAACACAACGGCCGCGCCGATGCCTCGAAACCCCCAGGGCCAGTGTGGGCTTTTTACTACTGCGGCTCCTCACGACTCCTGCGGCGTGCTTCACACGTTGCAAACCTCTTAGCAGCCCGCGCTTTGCTGGGCTGCCTTTTTAGGCGAATCGCATCACGGCAGCGGGGAAAAGAACTGTGGGCAGCAGACGAGGCCGTCCGGGCCGCCGCAGCAGCGGCAGTCGATTGTCTAATTCAGGGCGGTGGATGAAGGCGAGGTTTGGGTGTTGCGGTTTCGAAGCTCCAATTGTGTAATGTAACGCCACGAGCTAGGGACGTACAAACAGTCCCGCGGGAGCACCAGTTGCTGGCTGCTGGCCTGGGGTCTGGACTGGGGTTTAGGGTCGAGGGTAAACCTTAGTAGAGTGAAGGCCGAGGCGGGCGCAATCGAGGCCCCCTGTCACCTGGGGCGTCTACCGCGCGCGCAACCGGGGCTTGGCGGCCTTGGGCTGCGCCGCAGCCGCGGGCGCAGCCGCGGCGGCGCCCGCTGCCGCTGCCGGCGGGCCGGGCGGCGCCGCCATCATCTGCTGTATGATGGATTTGGACTGGAGCATTTGCCAAGACGCCTGCTGTGACAGCAGCGTTACGAGCTCCTGGGGTCAAAAGGGGGGAAGGGTTGTTGTTGTTGGGTGGCTTGAGAGATAAGGGAGGGAGGGTTCAAACGGGCGAATTGGGGTGTTGAGCGAGCACGCCTGCAGCAACGGCAGAGCAATCCGCCAGCAACACGAATGCAACGCAGCCGCAGCCCCTCGTGCGGCGCGCCTCGACGGGGTCAACCCCAGGGCTAGCTCCTGGCGCTAGTGCCTCCAAGCTGCTGCGGGAGCGAAGCCGAGCACGCGCAGCCCGCGCCGGCATCCCCGCCGTCCCCAACCCCGCCTCCCCCCTTTGCTTCGCGCGCACCGGCGTGTAATCGGCATCGAAGGTGCTGATGTAGGGATACTGCCGAAGCTCCTGCAGGTGGGCCGGCAGCCCGGGCGCGCCTGCCCGCGCGTCGGCCAGGAGCTGCTGGGTCTCGGCGGGCAGGGCGCCCTCCCACTGGGCCGCCTGGCTGTTGGTCACCCACAGCACGTCCACCTTTCGGGAGGTTGTGCAGATGACCAGGGGTTGGGGTGGGGGGCAGAAGCGCATGCGCCCGCACACGGTCAGCTTTGCACATGGCAATGAAGGGGAGACTGTGGCGACAGACTGGCGGAAGCGGCGAGCGGCAAGCATGCATGGGCGCTTGTGGACGGGGGGTGCATGGCAGCTTCAGGGCAGCTGCAGGGCAGCTGCAGAGTTCCAAAGGCCGAGCGCTGCATGGGGGCCGTCCAGAGAGCGGCGTGTGCTTTCAAATGCTCCCCCTGCGCCGCTGCAAACGGGCGCCGGAAGCGCTACGCTGGTGCGGCGGCAAGCGCGGCGCGGGTGCGGCGCGGGTGCGGCGCGGGTGCGGCGCGGGTGCTGCGCGGGGGCGGCGCGGGCGCGGCGCACCTCCCAGCCGCCCTTGACGCCTTTGTTGGCGTTGTCCTGGACAGTGTACGTGGCGCGGTGGGCTGTGCTGCCTCCGGCCTTGTAGGCGGCGGCCAGAGCTGCGTGCAGCTCTTTGTAGCCGGATTCAGGGAAAATCTGTGGGGCGTGGGCAGGCGGCGCGTTGCTGTGGGCGGCGGCTCAAGCCCCGACGTAGTGCGGCGAGCAGGGGGCGGTGCCGCCGATTGTCTCTGCCAGACCCCCTTGCTCTTCGCTGCCAGTCATCGCCCCACGGAAGCCGTGACTTTCGCGCGAGAGTGCATGCACCCGCGTGAGCGCACGCACGTCCATGCGCAGGCACAACTGTATGTTCACACACGCTCACATACACACGCACTTGCACACTCACACACAAAACACACAAACAAACGCTCGAAATACACACACACACACACACATACACACACACACACTCACACACACATGCGGTTACACACACACACGCATACAAACACACACCTGCATGGCCTTGTTGTAAATGTCAATCGCCACGCCGCTGACGAGGCCGCGCTTGTTCAGGTCACGAGGAACCTGGGAGAGCAGTGTTGAGCGCATTGTTCAGCCCCATGGCTGAGCTGCGGGCCATTGCGACCAGTTGCTTGCGAAAAGGGAAGGGCTCAGCAAGGGCTGGAGCAGCCATTGGGAGGAGGCTGCCGCACAGGAATGCGTCTGCAATTCAAGGTGCGTGGGCAGGTCTGCAGGCCAAGGCAGGGACGGGGCCTACGCCAGGCGCGGCGAGTGTGCTGCTGCGCTCGCCCGGCCTTAACCCACCGCGCCAAACAGGCCGGCCACATCCCATTGGTAAACCGCCCATTGATCGGCGGTCCCGTTGGGCGGGTAGATGGTGGCCACGCCGCAGACGATGTGGCGCACGCCGCGCTGGACGAGGGGGGTGATCGCAGTGTTGTCCTGCAAACAGGGTTTGGGTTGCGCCGAGCAAACAATCAAAAATGGTATGTAGGCAATCCATTTTTTGTTTGTGTGTGTGCGCGCGCATGTGTGTGCGTGCGTGTGTGTGTGTGTGTTGCGTGTGCGTGCATGTGTAAGAGAGAGAAGTAAAACAGAGAAATAGAGCGCAAGGGGTGCAGGGAGGGAGGGAGACAGGCCCAGACGAGTGTGTATGTGTGTTCGCGTGTTCGCATGCGCGAGCACATGTGTGTGTGTGTGTGTGTGTGTGTGTGTGTGTGTGTGTGTGTGTGTGTGTGTGTGTGACGTGCTGAACACCACGCAGCAAGCTCAGAGCCTCCCCTAGGCATTGGCCCCCTCCCCTAGGCATTGGCCGTGGCCGGCTTACCGCGCCCCCACCATCCGCAAACAGCCTGCTGCCACCTGCACAGGTCATCACGGGGAGTGCAACGCGAGGAATTCGACCGCGCATTGGTTGCTGGATAGTCACCAAACACGCGAAACATGATGGGCAAGCCATTGGCGGGCAGGCAAGACTGCCAGGGATGTTGCAGGTTGTCGGTTTTCGGAATGCTGCTTGTGGGGGCGAATGGCACGGTGCCCACCCCAAGCTGGCAGGCGTAGGCAGCAGCTCCGCAGGCAGCGCAGGCGGGGGTGCGAGACTGCCGCTTGCTGCTCGCAGTGCGTTCAACAGCCCCTGCTGTTATACCAACACAAGACCAAAAAACCAGAAGGCTTGACCTAAGATAAAGCCACCCACCTTGGTAGTTGAGCTGCGGTCAGGGGGGCGGGGGTTGGGACGAGGGTGGGGAGTGCAGATCGTCAAGGCGGCGCGAGGTCATGTGATGTGATCTGCATCTGCCCCACCCAGCGCAGGCCACCCAGACATGATCTGGACGTCATCACACACCCCAAACTCCGGCCCTGACAAACCTCCAGGCGCGCATCCTGCGCATCTCCTTGCCGTTTAAAATGCCAACAGGTCATCTATCCCTACCCATGGGGGCGGTCGACGCCCCCAGAAGCCCTGTCATCCGCGACCCCAACGAAACGCATTGTTCCAGCCACAATTCATACCCCAGAACCGCGCCCCCCCCCCCTCACCAGGTTCCAATACTCAAGTCTTTCAGCCCCCGTCAGCTCCGCCTGCGTCGTCGTGTCCGGCCGCGTGCCCTGCGCTGCAAAGCTACTGGAGATGCCGACCATCTGGACGAGGGGCACGACGTAAGGTGCTGACGTGGCGGTCACGTTGGCCACCCCGCTCGCTGGGGTGGGCTGCGGGCCAGGGGAGTAGGTGTTGAGCAGCAGCGGCTCAACGTAGCCGCCGCCGACTACGGGGTCGGTGCCGGCGGTGGTGTTGAGGATCCCCGCGTACAGTGGCGTGAACTGCGGTGCGAAAATGCGGCACATGGGGGCTTGCTTGGCGTCAGGTGGCTGCGGGTGAGAGGATATGATGCAGCAACTGCAAGGGCGCGCTCCAGGGCATACACTACCGATTGACCGAGCCCACTGGGGCCTCGAGGCCCTGCTTATGGCACGCACCAGGGACAGGCGGAGTGACTAAGCGGCCCCGCCTTGTTGTCGTGTCAGCCTCCACGGCCCCAGCCTGTCTGCCGTGGTGACTCACCTCGAAGGGGGCGTACTTGACGGGAGACTCTGGCACCAGCATCGAGCCCATGATGATGGGATATGGCCTGTAGGGTGATTGCAGAGTGAGCCAAGATAGACAAGCAACCAGTCAAGCCGGTGTTCACCAGAGCCCAGAAAAGCCTCTTGGCGAGTTGCAACCTGTAGAGTCACACTCAGGTAATCACCTGGCACGAATGGCCATCAAGAGGCCAGAGGGAAGTCCAAGAACGAGGCTCGCAGGGGCCGAGCTCAAGCGCGACGGCAGGACCGCCCGCGCCGCTCACTTGTCTGGCGTGGCGCAGGCTGTGAGAAAGGGTATCTGCGGGATGCGCGACGCAATCGCCTGCCCAACGCCGCCGCGGGTGCCCAGTGCCGTGACGCTCGAGGCCTGGTTGCCGACGCCAAAGGGCGTGAGGAAGGCCTTGCCCACGGCGCTTGACCATGCGCCGAGCTGCGGGTTTCCAGGGGATAGGCGGAGCCGATGTGTCATGGGGACGCCCGTGTGCTGGTTTGCTTTGAAGGCGCCTGGGCTGAGTCACGTTGCAGCAGCGAATGTGACAAGCGCACGGGTGCATGGGAGTGCTCCGGCACTCACACACTCACACACACACACATACACACACACATGCACGCACGCACGGACGTGCACACTCACACACACACACACACACACACAAGCCCAATTTTGGTACCTCTATCCCTTTCCTCCCCCTCTCTTCCTATTGCTATTGCTATACTCTCTATTGCTCTCTCTCGCGCGCTAGCGACTGCGCCGCTCCCGTAAAACACACGCAAACAATGCGCTCCTATCACACCCACCCGCCCTGCATCTTTTTGAGTGCTTCTGACAGCGTCCAGGATGGCCCCTGCCACAGATCTAGTTATGATGGTGGCCTCATAGATCACTTTCCCATAGGACCCAGGGCCGTTGGAAGTTCGCAGCACGTCCAGGGTGAGCTTGTCGGGGGGTAGGAAAGATCCCAGGAACAGCTTGCTGGGGAACTGGATGGTGGCGTTTCAGGGGCGATGAGGGGGGATTGCAGTGCTCAGCCTTGCATTCGTCTTGGATTTGTACACCCAAGCTACATCTGTTTCGCCCCTCCTCACTGTCGAGCGTGGGGTGCTGCTGAGCCCATGGGGC